GTGGAGCAGGCCTGACTTAGGTTGGTCCAGTGGTTCAGGATTTGGATTGAAATAAAATGAGATACCCATAGATGATCTAGCAGTTAACAAAAGAAGGTATTAACAAGATCATAGAAAGGATATTCAGCCAGGATACAGCATTGATTCAATTGGGCCCAGCTTCCCTACCTCTACATTTGCTATGGTGGTATGCTGGTCAGAAGCCTGGATCAAGACTAAGGAGCTTCAAACTGCTCATTTGCCAGATTTTGTACTTAGGTGACTAGAAAGTCATATCTAAGCTGACTAATACCTTTTGACTATACTCTAGCTCCATAACCAATCAAAAAGGTTCTTTTCACCACATGGTTATGGCGGGGTACGCGCCCAAGGCAAGACCTTTGCCCCTCACCCCAAAAAGAAGCTGGGTCCCATTTTTAATTCAGAGGCAATTCTATTCCATGTCTCAATGTCATCTATCATTGGTTCTTAACCAGGGGGCTATGAGCCTGTTTTTAAAAAGTTTTGATATCTGTACTTCAATATAATTGGTTTCCTATGCAAATCTATGTATTTTATTTTGTGCACTTAAAAACATCATTTTGAGAAGGGGACCATGGGCTTTACCAGACTGTGACTGGTCTATGACCCAAAAAGAAAGTTGAAAACTGTTGCCATATGACAATACTTCTCGAGTATTAGTTCTGTGTGGGGACTGGCATGTACATTGAGTTCATCTCTGTCACGTGCATGCTCAGCTGATGCAAAGTTACCAACTCTCTCCCTCCCTCCAGTCTCTCCCCACCCTTTTAGAAGGCAAGCAATATGCTATCAATTATACATGTGAAGTCATGCAAAACATACTTAAGAAGGGAAATTCTTAACAATTTTGAATTTTGGATCCACTGAATCTTTCTGCATTTCCACCATCCAAATAACTTTTTGCTTAGCTCCAGAGTTGAAAGCCAATCCTTGCTGAGATGTTGTGGACTGGATGTACTGAGCTGGAACTTTGGAGTTTATAATGGAGGGAGTTTATAATGCCATATATTTAACATTTGTTGTTGTTCAGTCATGTCCAACTCTTCATGACTCCCTTTGGGGTTTTCTTGGCAGAGATACTAGAATGGTTTGCCATTTCCTTCTTCAGATCATTTTACAGATGAGGAAGTTGAAGCAAACAGGGTTAAATGACTTGCCCAGGGTCTCACAGTTGCTAATTGTTTGAAGCCAGATTTGAACTCTGGTGCTCTATCCACTGTGCCACCTAGCTGCATATAATCATTCCCCAATAAGAGGATTATACATGTAGAACTTTTACAAAGTAATATTTTCTTCAGAAGATATCAAAGACATATATACTTCCTTAAACCCGTGGGAAGCATAATCCTCCTTCTCCCCTACACCACCTCAGGCTGTGGGGAGGGGAAGGTGATGAGGTTCAAAGCTTAACTCAGTTCCAGTAAAGGATTGTCCCAGTTCCAAGTCCAAAATTCTCCTGGAGTTCAGAATCCCTGGCATCATGGCTCTCAGGGTTTCCATGCCAGGTTGCACCATCCCACCTGCAACCATGGCTGGAACTCAGAGGCCCAATGGGGATCACCTCTGACAGACATCTGAAACTGAAAACAAACAAGATAGAACAGAAACAAACAACCCCCAAGTCTATTTCTGGTCATGGGCTCACTTTATGAAAAGAGCACTGCAGAAAAATGGTGGAGGACAGCCTGATCTGTTCCTCTATCCATTTTAAAGACCCGGGCAGACAATCAAGATTACTCCATCCATGTGGTAAGGGATCATTGAGTTTCATGTTAGATAAATTGGGCATGCTCAAAGGCCCACTCCATGTTAAAACTGGCCATATTCAGAAGCTCAGGCTGCACACGAAATAGCAAATCTCTCTTATATACTTCCTGCTTTTCTTTTAAAGTGTGTTACTTCACCTTCTACCTTTCAAAGCTGCTCTACTTGTCTGGTTTTCTTTCAAGCTTTCCTTCTTTTCTCTCCGTTTTTGAAAAAACAATGTCTCTGTGGCAGTTTTTTGTTTTGTTTTGTTTTCTTGCCCATCCTATTTCTATCTTCACTTGCCTTCCCCTCTTCCCCGAATGCCATAGAGAAAATAAAGAAAAGAAAAACAAAGCCCCTGGGACAAACATGCATAGTAAATAAAACACATTCTGGGAAACATATGGGGGCAGCAAAAGTTTCACAAGATAGACATGGATGGGTTGCAATCTGCATTATTGAAAGGAACTTTTGAATCCATGAGGTCACAAATCTATTTAATAAATTCACCCAGAATTCGATAACCCAGAAAAGAAAGAGCTGAGAATTGGCAGTTTATGGAGGCGGGAATCCCTTAAGTCATAGCTTAAGTAACAGAAACGGCATCTGACCTGAGAAATTTAATCTGTGGTCTTATTTTATTAATTGTTGAACCATAGGACACTGGGTAAAAGTTGTCATTCCCCTTTTTCTGGAAATGTAAAATGACGAACAAATAAAAGTTAACTGATTTCACTCATGCCTTGTGGTCGCATTAAGACTTTCCTCAAGTAGAAAGATGCAATTGGAGTAAAGATTGAGGGTGAGAAAGAAGGCCTTTGACATCTCAGAATGCAGGCTACTGATCAGCAATTTACCAGGGGAATCTAAGAAGAAGCCAAAAATAAATAAATAAATAAATACTAAGATGGGTTAGCTCTTGGGAGAAAGGGAAACCAGCAGTTTCTGCTCAGCCAAGCAGTTTGAGAAAAGTGTCAAAGAATTGTACTGAAGTAGGAAGAGGGTAACCGAGAGGAACAACAATCACTCCATTGGGAGATCATAGCGGCATAGATTTAGAGCTGGAAGCCATCTATAACAGAGTTAGACTTTTAAAGTTATCTAGTGAAAAATTCTATCCACCTCCAGATAGAGAACTGATGGACTCTGAGTAAAGATGGAAGCTTTTTTTTTTTTCACTTTATTTTTCTTGCTTCCCCTGTCCCCCAACATGGCTAATATGGAAATGTTTTGCATGACTTAAAAAAAGTTATCTAGTCCAGTTCCCTTATTATATATAGATGAGGAAACCAAGTTTTACAGAGGTTAAATGACTTGCCAAACTCCCACAGATAGGAAGTGGCAGAGTTGGCATGTGCACCAAGTTGATGTTTTGATTGAACAGTGAAAAGAGCAGATACCTAGATACTGAACCAGTTAGTCAATCAATGAACATTTATTAAGCATCTACTGTGCCAGGCATTGTGCTAAGCACTGGGGATACAAAAGGGAAAGACAGTCCCTGCTTTCCAGGAGCTTACAATCTAATGGGGGAAGACCACACAAGAGGAAGCTGCCTTGTTTTTTCCATTTACATGGTTGTAGTCATTGTGTATTTTATTTTCCAACCTGTGCTTACTTCACTTTGCATCAGTCCATGAAGTCTTTCCATGATCTTATGTATTCATCATAACCATGGGTTTCCTACAGCACAATGCTATTCCATCATATTCATGCACTACAATTTGTTGAGCCATTCCCCAATCATAACTTTGTTTCCAGTTCTTTGCGACCCCTGTGAAAATCAAGTTACTTTAAATGCTGTAATGGAAGATTGATGAGATGCATCCTCCATTAACACCTTTTACAATGCATGTCAGAAGATTTTTTTTTTTTTTGGTGAAGCAATTCATGCTACAAATAATACTCTGCCAAGCAAGGTTAGGGTCAGGATTAGAACAATACAATATAACAATTGGTGAGTTCCTCCTGAAATCTCCATTTTGGCAAATGACCCTGACCAGAGATGCTTCACTCTTTGGATTTTGCCACCATGCTTCAGCGGCCCTCTCCCTTTGCCTCTTCTCCCAATGGCCCCTTTCTCTCATTAGTTCCTCCTTGAACCTCCATTTTGAAGAAAGGCTCAAGCCAGCCAACTTTCATTTTCTGATTTTCTCCACTCCCCGGCTCCAGGCCCCAGGCCCCTGCACACCTCCAACTCCTTTACCTTCTTTTTATGTATTGCCTTTCCCTATTAGAAAAACAATAACTGTGCAACTAGGAGACTAAGAGTCATGGAGACCTGAGTTCAAATCCAACCTCAAATACATACTAGCTGGGCAAGCCACTTCACCTGTTTGCCTTAGTTTCCTCATTTCTAAAATGAGGGTGTTATTAATAGCACTTCCCAGGGTGGTGGTTAGGAGGATCAAATGAGATAGTGTAGTACAGTGCCTGGCACATAGTAAGTCCTGTATCAATGTTAGTTATTATTATTAATTAGAATGTAAGTTCCTGGAGGGCAGGGACCGTCTTTACTTTTGCTTGCATTTGTACCCCCAGGGCTTAGCACAATGCCTGGTATAAGGTCAGGGTGCATAAATGCCTACTGACTTAACGTGTAGACTAATGAATGTTTAATCTACTGTGAATAAGCAATCAGTCAATCACGCAGAGCTGGGCAGGGAATCAGTTTCTTCCAAGTAGGGGCACGCGGAAGTGGGTGAATGGGAGCGGGAGCGCTGGGCGCCCGGTTCTCCCCACCCACCCCTCCAGCCCTGCAGACACTGGACGGGCTGGTTTTGCTTGCATCTTTGTCCCTTTGCTGTCTTTCTCTCTTCCTCTGGGAATGAATGGAGAACCTGCCCTCGGGCACCCCTGGTCTTGGGTACACAGTGAACACGGTAAAATTTACTGGGGGCTGGTTAGAAGAGGGTGAAGGTGCCTGACAGCTTCGGGGTCGGCTCGGGTCCCTCCCCCCACTCCCCCTCCCTTCCTGCAGGGGGCGGGAGCAGAGCTGGAAGGCGGAAGAAGATGCTGGCGGGCTGGGTGTTGGGAGGGGAAGGAGGCGGGGTTCTGGAGAAGGGAGGAAGGGAAGCCGGCAGTTAGAGGCGGTTCTCGCGAGGGGCGAGATTTGAGGGGGTGGCCCTGGATTGGGTGAGGCAAAAGGTATAGGCGGGGCCTAGCCCGGGGCTGGGCGGAGTTGGTAGGTTGTTGCTGTCAGCGGGAAGTAGAGATACTGCTGCCCCTCCTCCACCCCCGCCCCCCACCGAGAAGTGAACCTCCAGCAGGCGGGTGCGGTACCAAGCCCGGATCTGGAGTTCCCCGCCCCTCCCCCCCAGCCCAGGAGCGGAGCTAGGACCGACCCGATCCACACGGGATCAGTGCAGAGTTTAGAACCCGGATCAGGAAATCTCGGGTCCCAGACCGGGAAATCCCGGAGCCTGGATTAGTAAAGACCGGAGCTCGGACCCGGAAGCCCCGGAGCTCGGATCGCGGAGGGGGTTCCCTGGGCGCGGAGCCCGGAACCTGGATCGCGCCTGAGGCCAGACGGGACGGAACGATGTCGGGCCGCGGCGCGGGCGGGTTCCCGCTGCCCCCTCTAAGCCCCGGTGGGGGGGCGGTGGCTGCGGCCCTGGGGGCCCCTCCGCCCCCCGCGGGGTCCGGGATGCTGCCTGGAGCGGCGTTGAGGGGCCCAGGGCCTGCTGGAGGCGCGGGGGGGCCCGGGGCTGCAGCCTTCCGCCCCATCGGGCCCGCGGGGCCCGCGGCGCAGTATCAGGTGCGGGGCCGGGGCCGGGGCTTGGGTGCAGGGGCCCGGGCGGACACCCGCCCGCAGAGGAAGCGGGGCCCACGGTGCCAAGTTCAAGGGTCACTCTCCAGCCAGGGGTCAAGGCCAACTACAGTTAGGGTTGGGGGGCGGACCTAGAACTCGGAACACCAAGTCCGGGGCTCCCCAGGTCAGTGGCTTCCCAAGATAAGGGCACCAGTAGAGGGGCGCAGACTTTGAAAGGGAACGCAGAGGTCATCCAGGCCTACATCCCTCAACCCCCATTTTACAGATGAGGAGACTGAGGCCAAAGAGATTAAGTCACTTGGCCAAGGTCGCATAGATAGTAAGTGTGGAATTTGAACCCAAAGCCCTCAGATTCCAAGGCCAGCACCTGTGGGAAGGGCAGGTGGGGATGGGCTGGAGGTGGGAGAAGATTTGGTGCACATGTGAAGCTGTGTAAATCCTGCATGCTAAGGCGTAGGTTGCGGAGTAAAGGAAGTCTAGTTTGGGCACATGAGAGTAAAATGCCACATTGGCTGGTGAAAGAAGTGGGGTAAAAGGGTATGTGTGCTGGTGGAAATAGAAATGAGGGGCAATGGGGTGTTGGTGCAGGTGGAGGAAATCAGGGCTGGAAGTGTGAGGTGTTCCCCTGACAAAAGAAGGCACCCGAGGAGTGAGGAGATTGTTGCTGGCAGAAAGGGTTTGAGGCCTTCCATTGAAGAGGGGAATCCTGGGTTTCTGGGGGGAGATGAACAAACCATGGGAGCTTAGAGTTACTTAGGGGTAGGGTGCCTTTGATGGCAGCCCCATTGCAGGAATGGGGTTTCCTAGGAAGCTTTTGTTTCAGGCATTTTTTGTTTTCTAGAGCCATGATCTGGTAGTGTTTTATCTTGTCTTGGCCTGTTAAGGTTTTATGTAACTCCCAGTTACTTTTTTTGGAGGGAGAGATGGCTACCCCACTGATGGGAAGGTTAGAATTAAGTTGAATGGACCTCTTCCTCATGCACCAGGACCAGACCCTCCAGAAGAGGTCCAGTGGGTTTCCTCCATCAGGTTTTTCAAGAAATGGCATATACCTGAGTTGAGGCAGGTAACCTGGATAAATCCTTGGGAAAAGAGGCCCGGGCCCAAGAGAGCTCAGCTCCAGCCCAGTTATAGGCAATAGGCGTTCTTCTTGCACTTTGCTGTCATTGTGTCTGGAACTGATTGCAGCAAGAGGATTCAGAGAGACTGCTGAGTCCAGGTCTGGGCCTAGAGGAGCCCAGGAAAAGGTGGGAGTTCTGAAGGATAGGAGTTTTAGCTGTATAACCCTTTCTGCCTCATTCTCTACTGTCCCAGATGTCTTAAGAGTTTATTCATAGCACTAACTAGATGGGCACTCCTTGAGGTCAAAGGTTAGATACCCCTGCCTCTAGAAGACAATACCAGACAGGGATTTGTTCTAGGGTCTAGTTAGTTGGGGCTTCACACCTATTTAGCCCAGTTCCCCAATCTCTTAGTTGTTTTAGATTGTTTACGAATACTTATGAGAGTTACATCCCCTCCTACCCTCATTCCCTACACACATTCTGTCTTTTGGCTGTGCTGAAGGCTAAGCTACCTACCTTAGTGTTGGATTTTCTTTACTGATCCACCCAGTGTTTGGTTGCTGGGGTTTCCTCTCTTCTTCTTAAGTCTCCAGGCTGAGGGCTAGAAGAAGGAAAGCAGCTTACAGAGGGTAGGGGAACACCTGTGCATTCTGCCAGGGCTCTCAGATGATTAACTGTTAATAGCATTTTCCCTTTTCTTACCTTTCCCAGTTGATTGGATATGACAAGCCATATTGACCCGGTCCGAAGGCCCTGAGGGAAACTGGTTCATGTCTCCTACCTCCTGTCTTGCTTATGAGACGTTTAGAGCCAAGATGGTTCCAGGGAGGTCCGAAAACAAACCAGTTCCTTGGGCCTATCAACTTTGACATGAATTGCCAGCATTCTGGGAGCTTCGAGCCTAGTACTGCCTCGGGGCTAAACAAAAACCCTTCCCCCTTTTAGATGATTGAATGGGATTGAATTATATCCCCTCTCAACTTTCTCTCACTTCTCCCCTCCCTTCCCACTGTCTCTCAGGAGCCCTAGGTAGAGTTTATCCCAACATGGGATTCATGGTTATAGCCTTGAACATGGTAAATCAGAATCAGCCAGACTATCTAATTCTTGAGACTTTAGGGAATCTGTGCTCCCTTGCTCAGGTAGGCAAGGGCAGATCTGGATCTAGGAGAATTGGGTGGGGATGGGTGGAGAGATCTTTCTGGGCCCTGACCAACTGGCTAAGCCAAGGAGCCAGTGGGCCCTCCTTGCACTTTGTCCTAGACCAGTTAGCAGGATATCTAGTGGTTAGAGAACTTTGTGATGGGGTATCAGTATTACTAGGAATGTAGGATGAGCTGGGGGAACAGAGACTCTGAGTTGCTGTGGTGAAAATTGGAGAAGGAGGTAGTGGGGGCCTGCTGAAAAAAGAGGAACAACTCAGCAACTGTTGATATTTGGACAGCTCAGCTGTAGTGTCCTAAAGACAGTGACATGCGTTGTCCCCCCTGAAATCTTTGTAGGTATGTAGGCGTAATCTGTTCCACTTTCAGTTGAGACTCTTTTGGTCAGACATGCAGGGTCACTAAAGTGCACTTTGGCTCTTACAAAGTTGCTGTTTGGAGCAGTGTTGCAGATGTACACTGCCCCCGGGTTTCATTCTCTACCCTTGACCAGCCAATCTTGTCTCAGTCTTATGCCCTGATTCTTGTTAAGTGATAAGGGCTGAACCAGTTCTTGATTCTAACTCATACTCGGTTCAAGGAAAATGATATATCCCTAATAGTCCAGTAGTCAGGAGGTGGGGTTGGGGCTAAATGTAAGGGAGAGGGTCCCCAGAACTGGCCCAGATAGACCAGGGGAACTGAGTCTGGGAGCTCTGAGTGTAGGATTGTCTCTTGGGAAATGGAATAATTTTCTCAAACCAATATATGATCTGGGAAGAATTTGGGGAGGGATTGAGGCAAGCTGGAACACGATACTGTAAAGTGCTCTCTTTTCCACGAGGCCATGTGAGCTTGTAACCCATCTGCCATATGGGAGAGGCCTGAGCCTATGGGAAGCCCAAGGCAAGGAAGTCTGGAGCAGATGTTTGGGCTGGAACCTATCCTACTCCTATCTTTTGCCTTTTCAGCTAGGTAATTTCCTCTGTTATCTGAGCACCTACCAAGAATGGGGGTAGATGGATGCTCCAAGGACTCTGAGGAATCCAGGGGGAGGATTTTTGTACTCTTCCCTCCCATTAGTGCCAAGCATTGGATTAACAGGGCTGAGATATATACGGTTTGGGGAGTAGAGTTGAGGTCACAATGGTCTGACCAGGTACTTGGAAATAATTCAGGCCAAAAACAAGCATTTATTAAGTGACTATATCCCAGGTACTGTAGTAGGAGCTGGGGAAACAAGGACAAGAACAGAAAAAAGACCTGTCCTCAAAGAACTTACATCCCACAGAGAGAAACATCATGCATGTACATATACAAAGGAAATTTTTTAAAAGATCATTTGGGGGGGGTAGGTAACTAGCATCTGGGGAATTAAGAGGGGTCAGTACTTGAACTGAGCACTGAAGGAGGCTGTGGATTCTAAGAGTCAGAAGTGAGGAGGGAGTGCTCAGACGGGAGATGGAAGGTCTTCTGCGTGCGAGGGACGGCAAGAACGCCAGATGAGCTGAACTGCAGAGTGCAGGAAGGAGAGTCATGCATAATAATGCAGGAAAGTTGTATGGGAGACAGGTGGCGAAGGACTTTAAATGCCAAACAGAGGGGTTTGTATTTGAGCCTGAAAGTCATGGGGAGCCACTGGACTTTATGGAGACATGGAGACATGGGCAGAACTTCGCTGTAGGATTGTAATGTGGGCAACTGTGTGAAGAATGAATTGGATGGGAGAGACTTGAGGCAGGGAAAACAATTGGGAGGCTGTTGTATTAGTCTAGGGCCAACACGGGCCTAAAGTTGGGGCCGGATGAATGGAAGGAAGGCCAGGAATATGAGGGACATGGAGGCAGAAACAAGAAGACTGGGCAAACAATTGGCTATATAGGGGGAAGGGGTGTGAAGACCTGGTGGTGACACAGATTGCAACGCTAATCAATCGGAAGGATAGCGGTGCCCTTGACAGAAGTAGGGATGTTTATTAGAAAGATAATTTTTGAGGGGAAAATAACGAGTAGTAGGTTGGAAATGTCCACTACACATTTGCTGATGCAGAAGTGGACCACAGGAGGGAGAGAGTAAGGCTAGGTACATAGATCTAGGAGTTATCTGCACAGAGATAATAACTGAACCCTCGGGATTTGAATGAGATAACCAAGGGGGTGGAGGGGAGAATATAAGAAAAGAGGGCCTAGGACAGAACCTTGAAGTGACACTCCCAGGAGCAGAACAGGATCTATATTGTGCACAGGAAGACTGAGAAGGAGCAGTCAGAAAGGCAAGAAGCCAGCCAAGAGAGAAGGCCATGAAAACTTCGGAGAGGGAGTGTCAAGGAGGCAGCGTCAGTGTCAAATGCTTCTGAGATATCAAAAACGATGAGGAGTAAGAAGAATCCTTGGCATGGGGTAATTAAGAGATCATTGACTTTGGAGACAGCGATTTTAGTTAAGTGGGTAAGATTGGAAGTCAAATTGCCAAGAGTTGAGGAGTGAGAGGAGAGGAAATGGAAGCAATAAGTGTAGTTTTTTCGAGGAACTTGGTTATAAAAGGGAAGAGAGGTAGGATGATAGCTGAGAGGACTGCAGAGTCAAATGAGGGTTTGTTTTTTTTTTTTAAGAATGTGGAGACCTGGCCATGTTTGTAGGCACTAGGGAATGGGCCGGTAGATAAAGAGAAACTGAAGGGTGTGTGGGTGTGTTTTTTTGATGATGATGATTGTGGGAACAATATGCTGGAGGAAATAGGAAGGGATGGAATCCAGGATAGAAGCAGGGGTATCTTCTCTCTCCCAGGTTACCTAGGTGCTTAAACTTTGAGGGAAAGGCCCAATATGGGTTAAATATTTGGGGTATTTAAAAGTCCCAGTGCCTCTGCTTTGCTCTTTCTCCCTGCTTCCTAGATCTCGTGGCAGTGAGTGGGTGGTGTCTGGGAATCCTTCTTCCCCCTCTTAACCCTTCCATAGACTCAGTCCCTATTGTTAAGTCTTACCTCTCACTGCATGGTGGTATTGGTAGCACAGGTAGATTGCTTTCTCTGAATCATACTGGCATTGGCAGAGAGCTGGGGGTAGGGTTGAAATACAGAGGAGAGGCTGTTTGTGGCTTTGACCCACCATCTATCTGTCTCTGAACTACTGTCCTTAGCGCAGCCATGTTATCAGTATCAGCCTGACTTCTGTCTAACGTAAGGGGTGGCAGTTTGTAGGCTAGAATGGCCTAGTGAGGATGCTTTCTCTAGTTTGCACTGTAAGCCAGGGCAGAAGGGAGAGGCCCTGTGGTGCTAGGTGAAGAGCCCTTGACAGGTTGCTCCGAGCCTTCAGGAAAGGTAGCCTGGGGAAAGGTAGCACAGCTGTGTGCTGGGAACTCGAACCTGAAAGAGGTTGGGTTCCTCCCACCAGTTCACTCTCTAGAGGAGAGCTTTTCCCCTTGTTCTTTGTGCTTTGGTAAGGCTGCTCCCATCCTATTTGCTGGCACAACTGCCTGGGCGGTTGGTGGGGGTGGGGCAGGTGTGGCTCATGTTTTTGCATTCAGACACCAGCTCCCCTTTGTCTTGCACTGAGTCATCTCACTGTGTGGACTAGTCAAAGCTCTATGTAGCCCAGGGTTCGAAATGGGCCGTTAGTGACCAAAAGGAGCAGGATGGAGGGAATGGGTGGAAGGCCTTGTCGAGCATACCCAGTAAACTATGCCCTGACGGTTCCACTTTCCCTACAGCGCCCTGGTATGTCTCCAGGAAGCAGGGTACCTATGAGTGGCCTACAGGTGGGACCCCCAGCTGGCACTCCCTTTGGCACAGCTTCTCCACTCCGGCCTGGGATGCCACCTACTATGATGGACCCATTCCGGAAACGTCTGCTTGTGCCACAGCCCCAGCCTCCAATGCCTACCCAGCGCCGAGGGTAAGTCGTGTCTGTTTTCCCTGCCCTCCTTAGCACTACCTTTCCTGGCAGAAGGGTTTCTTCCTGGCCTGAGACCAAAGTGAATGAGGCTTCTTTTCTGGCAGTCTGTTGCCAGGAGAAGGTTAAGAAACTAGGGCTTGGGGCAGAGAGGCAATGGGGAGAGATGGTCTGTGTACTTAGTAAGCCTGTGGGTGACTGTCTGATGTCTCTCCTTCTTTCCAGGCTAAAGAGAAGAAAGATGGCAGATAAGGTTCTACCTCAGCGAGTAAGTATTAGGCTTGGGAGGAAAGCCCTGTGGGTAACTGGCAGGAAGAAGGAATTCCCTTAAATTGGACATGATACAGTGGGAAGAGAATGAAACTGAGAGCCACAGGACCTGAGTCTTACTACCTGTGTGACTTTGGACAAGTCACCTAATCTCTCTGGGCCTCAGTTTCCTCACCTGTAAAATGAAAGGGTTGAACTAGATGACTTCTAAAGTCTCTTTTAGTCCTAGATCTTTGATCCATAAATGCACATACATTTAGCTGATATGGAGTTGGGGAGGTAACTAAGGGTAGGGTGTTTGATGTTTGTCCTCCTTCCTTCCCCAACCACAAGATTCGGGAGCTAGTCCCAGAGTCTCAGGCATATATGGACCTCTTGGCCTTTGAGCGTAAACTGGACCAAACAATTGCCCGTAAGCGAATGGAGATCCAGGAGGCCATCAAGAAACCGTTGACGGTGTGTATATTCCCTATTCCCTTCCTTCCCAAATCCTCTTGCCTCCAGAGAAGACACCAGGGTGGGGTTGGGGTAAGATTGTGGGATTTTCCCCTCCTGTCACCCAACTTGGGGGGTATGGCTATTCTCTTGCTCTTTAAAGTTTGGATTCCATCAAGAATTGGGATTGGGGCCTGCTGGAAGGCAGTCCTTTGGAGGAGGCTAGCAGTCTGTTAACATGAGCTAACCCTCACTCCAAGCGATGCCCTGTCTCTTTTTATGTAGCAAAAACGAAAGCTTCGAATCTACATTTCTAACACGTTCAGCCCCAGCAAGGCAGAAGGTGAAGGGGCAGGAGCTTCGGGAGCTACGGTGGGAGCCCCAGGGTCAGTTCCAGCAGGGGACAAAGTGGCCTCCTGGGAACTTCGAGTGGAGGGGAAGCTACTGGATGATGTGAGTTGAAAATGAAAGGGGTTTGTGAGGAGAAAACAGAAGGGAGGTAACAGAGATGTTGGGTTGTCATTGGGAACGCCACCACTCCCACCCCACCATTCCCCCAAGTCCCCCTCAGTACCAGGGCTGGAATAGGCCTCGCCTGGCAGGGAAGGGGGGAGAGGTCAGATCGCTAATTAGCCCCTCCTTCCCACCTCTCAGCCCAGCAAACAGAAGAGGAAGTTTTCTTCGTTTTTTAAGAGTCTGGTCATTGAGCTGGACAAGGAGCTTTATGGACCCGATAACCATCTGGTGGAGGTGAGAGTGAGGTGATACCATGAACTTTGGTGTGTTTGGGGGACAGAGCCCCACCTCTGTGTTGTTCCACACAATGGACCCTTCTTCTCCTCAGTGGCACCGTATGCCCACAACCCAAGAGACAGACGGCTTCCAAGTGAAACGCCCTGGGGACCTTAATGTCAAGTGTACCCTTCTGCTTATGCTGGATCATCAGGTGATTTCCTAGGGCTACTCCTTGGTGAATATGCACTTGCCTGTGTATTGCCAGCCCCTGCAGCTGGGCTTCTGCTCTGACTTTTCACCTTGGGCTCTCCACAGCCACCCCAATACAAGCTGGACCCTCGGTTGGCTCGGCTACTCGGTGTGCACACCCAGACCCGGGCTGCCATTATGCAGGCGCTGTGGCTGTACATCAAGCACAACCAGCTGCAAGATGGGCATGAGCATGAATACATCAACTGTAACCGCTACTTTCGCCAGGTCAGCACTCCAGTGCCTCCCTTCTGTGCCCTCCCTCGTGCCCATGCCAGCCTCCCTGAGTCCCTTCTGAAGTAGCTTCTGCTTCACATTACTCTGCAAGACTGCTGGTCCTGGAGGCCCTGTGTGCCCGTCCCAGACTTGAGCCAGCTCCCATTCCGCCCCACCCCTTGCCCATAGCCTGGCCCTGTTTTACCCCAGTTGCTCGTTCTCTAGATCTTTAGCTGCGGGCGTCTTCGTTTCTCGGAGATACCCATGAAACTGGCTGGGCTGCTGCAGCATCCAGACCCCATTGTCATCAATCATGTCATCAGGTAAACAAGTGTTTGGGGGCTTAGAAGGACCACCCTTCCTTTGGTCTTTTAGGAAAACAGTGAATCCTTTTGCATTTCCTGTACACAAACTAAACGGGTTCTGGGGTTGTGTTGGGGAGTGGATAGCCCCAGGATCTGTGGTCTATGCGTCATCCCATCCTTTTTCCCTTTGGGTTTGGCATAGTGTGGACCCCAATGACCAGAAGAAGACGGCTTGTTATGATATTGATGTTGAGGTAGACGATCCACTCAAGGCACAGATGAGCAACTTTCTAGCCTCTACCACCAACCAACAGGAGATTGCATCCCTGGATATTAAGGTAGGCTCTTGCCTTCTAGGGGTAAGCTATGATAGTTCTGCTTTGCCCCCATGCCCTAGAGACCCTTGGGATGGGGTATCTGTTCTTTGAGCAGAACCCCAGGGAGAATGGGTTTGCCTGACACAACTCTCCTCAGATCCATGAAACCATCGAGTCCATCAATCAGCTGAAGACTCAGAGGGATTTCATGCTCAGTTTCAGCACTGACCCACAGGACTTCATTCAGGAATGGTTGCGTTCTCAGCGACGAGATCTCAAGGTAGGAGAGGATGGGTTAGGGAGGGAGGCAATACAGCATATTGAACACTAGGAACGACACCAACTCAGTCTTCCTCCCTACTCTTTTGATGGATTGTTGGGGGTGTGCTCATGGTTTCTGCTCTCTCCTAACAGATCATCACAGATGTGATAGGTAACCCAGAGGAAGAAAGGCGAGCTGCTTTCTACCATCAGCCCTGGGCCCAGGAAGCTGTAGGGAGGCACATTTTTGCCAAGGTAAGGACTAGTTAAGGTTTTCTGATCTCAATAGGCCTAGATGAAAAAGGCTAGTCTTTCTTTTCTTTCCTCTTATTAATTTGCAGGTCTCAGGCTTACCTGTCTTTTCTCTCTCCCCCTTGTTTTCCAACTCTCAGGTGCAGCAGCGCAGGCAGGAACTGGAGCAGGTGCTGGGAATCCGCCTGACCTAGCAGCTCAGGGAGCCTTCTTTATTCCTGCAGCTACCCCCTCCTCAGACTGGAATGGTGCCACCCTCTGTGCCCCAGCTGGGCTTAGAGGGAGGTGGGATAGGATGGGGTGGAGAAGCCTCTGCCACCCCATCTTCCCAGCTTTAGTTGCATAAATGTAGTCATAGGATTCATAGTCGCTTGGGCCCCACAGCCTTATTATTCACTTTTGCATTGGCTTTAATTGGGTTCAGCAGATGCCTCCTCTGTCCTTATGGGCAGGCCTGAGCAGGACCTCTAGGGGCTGTGGCAGCCCTAGGGGGTTGGGCTTTGACATTGTAATTGCAAAATTTCAGAACCAAATACCCCTGGGTTTTTATGTTTACAGGTGTTGACCTCTTGGAGGTCAGAGCTGGCACCAGGGAGCCAGATGGGTAAAAGGGCACACCCCAGGCTTTCCCTGGCCTTTCTAAACCAAAGTTCTTTGCCATTCCCACAAGCCCAGTGTCACTGCTGGTCTCTTCCTTTCCTTCAGGTATTTGCACTATTTGGGGAACAGGTTTTCTAAGTGGGAAACACCTTTTTGTATTGGTTGGGGGTTTTCCTAGGAGCTCTACCTGGTGCCTCCCCTTCATTTTCCTAATCTATGCAAGCGGCTCAAGGGCTCCAGCCGCCATCATCTCCTTGGGTGTCAGGCAGTGGTCCCAGCTTTGCCCCTTCATTAGGGGTAGAAGGGGGTGGGATAAAGTGAAGTCTCCCTGAGGAAGACTTAACTCCTTTGGCTTCAGAAAGGCCAGAGGGGAAAGGGTAAGGGAAGTATGGATGTTTGCATGGTGGAGGGAAAGGGTGTTGCTGCCTCATAGGGGCTGGGGGAAGGGGAGTGGACAGGGCGACAAGTACCTTTTTTGGCTAGTTTGGAAAAATTTCCAAATAAATACTTTTTGTTTATTTGTGCCTTCTGAGTCTGATCACTAAACATTTCTGGGTTGCAATGAAGGGTAGCAAAGACTAGAATCATAGGAGAACTAACTGTCCCAGTGAGCTTTATTTGGGAGATGTAAAGCTGACCGCTTCATTTCCATAGTTTCTTGATGGACATGTTCTTCTCACTATCTTTTTGCATGACCTGAAGGAAGAAATGATAGGCCGTTGCAATAGGGTCCAGCTTGGTCCTATCCCTGTTTACCAAAGTTACAGCCCAGAAAAGGGGCAGACCAGGTTCTAGTGTATTATGGCTTCCCACCTCCCCCAATCACAGCCTCTTTACCTTGGCTACTGCCATCTCAAAGTCTTCCTGGGTGACATGGACACGCCTTTCTCGAAGGGCATACATCCCAGCCTCCGTGCACACACCCTGTACACAGAAAGTTGGATGAAGAAAAGACACGATGACATCCTCTTAACAGGACTCTCAGATCACACCTCCTAAACAAACATCCTTCCCTTCACATGCACTCTTAAGTTACCTTCACTTCAGCCCCTGATGCCCCAGGCATGAGCTCTGCAATTTTCCGTAGGTTGATGCCTCGAGTCAGGTTCATTTTCCGAGAATGAATCTTCAAGATATCCAATCGTGCCTGCAGTGGTAGAGAGGAGAGGGAAGCCTTGAGCACCACACTCCCCCCGCCTTAGGCAGCTGCACTTTTCCCTGGGTGCTCTCTACCACCAACCTCCTCATTAGGGGGTGGGAACTCAATCTTCCTGTCAATTCTACCAGGGCGAAGTAGAGCAGAGTCCAGGATGTCAATTCTGTTGGTGGCCATGATAACCTGCGCGAAGAAAGAGGGCTCACAGTCTTTCGCAGGCTAGGTCCTACCCCTTTCTTCTCCTCTACCCACTCCAACCAGAATCCTTCCCACCTTGATGTTTTTAGTGGCTTCAAAGCCATCTAGTTGGTTGAGCAGCTCTAGCATCGTTCGCTGTACTTCACTGTCCCCCCCAGAGCCACCTTCTAGACGTGAGGAACCAATGGAGTCAATCTCATCCATGAAGATGATGGAGGGGGCATGTTCTCGGGCCATAACAAACAACTCCCGTACCATTCTCGCCCCTGAAAAACACCGTGTCAAAAGCTGAGTGCCAAAGCAGGGGAAAGATTCTGGCTGGCCCCTCACCCCTACCATGCTCACCTTCACCAATGAATTTCTGTACCAATTCTGAGCCTGAGACACGAATAAAGGTACAGTCGGTGTGATGAGCCACAGCCCTAGCCAAGAGAGTTTTGCCAGTTCCTGGAGGTCCATACAGCAACACACCCTAGGGTAGGGTAAGCAAAACTCAGTTCTCTTCATGGTAAAGTCCACCCCTATTTTCCCATATCCCAAGTTGTATCTTTCAGGCACAACTGCCTCTAACCTCTTGGTGACTTAATATTGGGATGTGGTGCAGGGCATGGATAAGAACCCTCAATCTGGCTCCCACAGTAAATCCTGCCCCTCACCTTGGGCTGTGCAATGCCTAGTGCCTCAAAGAGCTCAGGATGCTTAACAGGCAGTTCAATCACTTCTTTGATCTCCTTAATCTGCTTGTCTAGGCCACCAATCATCTCATAGGTTGAATCAGGCACTTTTTCCACCATCATCAAAGATACCAATGGATCTACTTTGTTGGGCAGAATTTTGTGCAGGGTGTAGCTGTCATTTCGAAGGGCCACGCGGCAATTGGGTGTCACCTAGTTGTGGGAGATAGTTTTAGAAAATGATATTACTATAGTACAGCATATAGGCCCCAGCCTCTCACCCCTTTTATTCCTGGAGTTGCTACCCTTACATCATTGATGTCGATGTTCTTATCTACATCCACCACGAACTTCCCCTCAGGATGTACCTAGAAAAAGAAGCTTGTTAGCTTTCCAAGTGGTACCAGCCTCCATCCCAAATACCAAGTCACACAACCAAGGAAAAGTCAAGGGATGTTAGAATATATATACCAACCAGTAAGATGTGATACTGTCCCCTCCAAAGACATTGTCCCACTGTCTGAGGGGTAGAGAATATAGCAAAAAGACCTATTTCAGCCCCTGGGGTCAAACTCTGTACCTTGACCAAAACTTTCTTTTTATCCATAGCTCGGACCACTTCCCCCACATAGGACCCCTGCTCCTGCAACAGCTGCAGCTCCTCCCGTAGTAGGCGCACTATATGGGAAGCAAATAGGAGCATTGGTTTTTTTTTTAGTTATCTTACTAATGTTTTGCTAAATAGCTCAACAAGTTAACTGATTCCCATTCCAGCCCAGCAATTATTTCAATTAATTCAAGCTCTGTTGTGAAGCATAAGATATTTTCATTGACCTTAAAAAGTTTACAGGGGCAGCCAGGTAGTGCAGTGGATAGAGCACCGACCCTGAAGTCAGGAAGACCTGAGTTCAAATCCAGCCTTGGACCAAACACTTGACACTTACTAGCTGTGTGACCTTGGGCAAGTCACTTAACCCCAACTGCCTAAGCAAAAAGAAAAAAAAAAGTTTCCAATATATTTGGAAATGGAAATAATGCTAATCATAATATTAATTATATGTTTTTGTTCAACTGTTACGGTGATATCCAACTCTTGGTGATCCCATTTGGGATTTTCTTGGCAAAGACACGAGCTATTTGCCATTTCCTTCTCCAGCTCACTTTACAGCTGAGGAAACTGAGGCAAATAAGGTTAAGTGACTTGCCCAGGGTCACATAGCTAGTAAGTATCTGAGACCAAATTTGAACTCAAGAAAATGAGTTCCTGACTCCAGGCCTGGCACTCTTATCTACTGTACCACACAGTTACTCAATCATATGCATACTAGAGTGTGTTAATATTTGAAGTGTAACAAGGGTACCCAGAAAGTCAAAACAAAACCCAGAATCTATGACTCCCAGTCACTACCGCCGGGCTCCTACCTTTTGCATTTAGCTCATTTCTTTGTGCTTGCAAACGACGGAGATTTTGGCTCTTGTCATTCACAATCAACTATAGCGGGCAGAAGACAAACAGTATAATCTATAGGCAAGTAGCTAACATAAAACCTTCCTAGCCAAATTCTCTAAACATGATTAGAAGAGAGAATAAGGTCTGCTGTATCTGGTCTCAGATTCTGACAAACCGATCACACCCACCCTGTTCTACCCCTCAAAGAGTACTGCCATGATTCAATAAGGTCCAAAGAAGAAGTTAATTCCACCCTAGATACCACAAACCCTCACAAACAGGGCTTCAGAATTCTAGGGGACTTTTTTTTTTTTTTAAATCCAGGTCAGTTATTCACTAAAACATTGAAGTCTCCAATGCAGACCACATAGCCACTAACCCTACCTCTACTAGCTGGATACTTTATTTTCCCTATTGAAGTTTACGAATGCATCCTTCAATATGTCTTCATTCCACCCAATTTCTATTCTCAGATCCTCTCTAAAAATTAAAATACTGGGTTTTCTGTCTTCCTTGAGCTCAGGCCCCAAGCAATAGGTGTCTTCCCAGTACTCGCCATGCTGAAGGCTCCCAAGTTTCCTCACCTCACTTTTTTTTTTAAACCCAACCCCCTCCACATCTGGCAAGCCCAACTTCCCATGCCTTCTCTCTTACCTCGCTTCCTTCTGAGCCCAGCAATGACACCCTCCTTTCAGAGGATCCCTCCCTAAGGGGGAAGGTCCTCGGAAAACGACTTCTCTTTCCCCTCCCCCAAACTTGACCCCCATTCCCTCCCCGAGTGACGTGAGCGATGATTACTCCTGGAACGATGTCCACCTTCTGTCCCTCCTCATCCCTGGCCCCATCTCCCTCTCTCTCGTGCCCGGCCTCACCTGCAGTTCCTCGATTTTGGACAGGTAATACTGTCGCAGCCCACTCCCGGCCTTGCCCTCCTCCAACTCCATCTGCTGAAGAGATGTTATCAAATAACATTTGGGGGGGGGGGGTGCCTACGGCACAGAGACTGTGAGGCAGGCACAGTCCTGGGTCGGGCAGGCGGGAAAGCAACGCGCGCGCGAGCGAATACCAATCACGCGGCGGGTGGGGGGAACGAGGGCGAGCCCGCCCCATGCGATCACGGCTCGGGGCCGCATTCGCAGCCCCGTCCCCGGGCCTGACCCGTCCGGGGCGGCGCTGACAAAGCACGTCGGCCTGTGAGGTAGCACCGGCCCCAGCTTGGGCTCGGCCCCCGCCTCCATAGGACCCAAACCTGGGTTCGGTTTGTCCTCCGCCAAGATTTGAATTCCAAACCCCATCCGTCCCCACAACTCCCAGCTACGGCCCCGCCTCAACCTTCTTACCTGCTCCGGTCCGTCCAGCGCCATCTTCCCTTCCCAGATCCAGATGCCGGCATCCAAGACAGTTCCGGGCGCAAGCGCAAAAGGGCGGGAGCCGCCGCAGCCCGCAGAATAAAACTTCCGGGTCAAGGAAAGCAACACTCTTTAGGAAAGAATGACCGCTGGTAGAGGCCATATTGGGAAGGTCGGAAATCCACGTCTGGCCATTTCGGAGAGCTAATGGATGAGGTGACCTGAAAATGCTACTCCCGGACAGTCCCTTTGTAATTGGCTTCTATTGCTCCATCACCAACTCTCTGGGTCTTAGCTTTATTTTTATGGGAATCCAGAGTGGAGAGCTTGGAGACGTTACTTCCTGTCTCTGACTTCCGTAGCAGTAAGGGGATTGGATTAGATGACCTCGAAAGTCCCGCCCTATTGTAAAGTCCAATCATCCTATCAGAAACAACAACAACAAACCAAAACCGCTACAACAGTTTTTATCTACAAACTCAAGATGGCTGAAGGGGCGGAGTCGTACACGTAAGAGCGGCGGCGCCGGAAGAAGGGAGGAAGTTCGTCCCCAGCCTACACGTGCCTCCTAAAGTTTGGGTGGGGGTTCTTGTGGACCTCCGAAAGTGATTTCTCTGTGGATGCGGCGGTGAGCACCCGGAAAAAGTACCCCGGATCTTCTCCCCGGCCAGGCTGAGGGGACGCCCCCATCCAGCGCCATGGGAAAGAAGGGCAAAGTCGGGAAGAGCCGGCGGGATAAGTTCTACCACCTGGCGAAGGAGACCGGTGAGTTGGGAGGAGTCCGCGGGCCTCCTGGGCCTCCTGGGCCTCCGTCGTCCCGGCCTCTGTCCCCGCTTACGCGGTGCCTTTTCTTGCCCAGGCTTTCGTTCCCGCTCCGCCTTCAAGCTGATCCAGCTGAACCGCCGCTTCCAGTTCTTGCAAAAAGCCCGGGCCTTGCTGGACCTGTGCGCGGCGCCCGGGGGATGGTGGGTGACCGCGGCCGCTTCCTTGGGCATCTCATCGCCGCCTCCGGGAAGCCTTCCCTTCCTTACCCTTTGATCACTGCCCTGCGGTCGGGCTAGACATTTCCTAGGAGTTCGGATGTTCTCCCGGCATCTGATTTTCATGTGTCCCCACCCCCAGCACCCATCATGGGGCTGGACATGGGACTGACGTAAGAGATTTACCCTGACAAGTTGCAGACTGTCTTATTCTCCACCTTTACTGCTACCCTCGCCCCCCCAAAAGCAAACAAACAACACTTTTCGATAGAGGTGACAGAAACAATTTTTATATACAAGGGAAGGAGAAAAGACAACTTTCGGGTTATTATTTAATTGCTTTCTTTAATTCTCCAGGCTGCAGGTGGCTTCGAAGTTCATGCCAGTGTCCAGCCTTATTGTGGGTGAGTGGTCACTCCTGGCTGCTTGGAGTGGGGAGTTTGGGATTCTGACTCTATCTCCCTGTAGTGGCCAGGATCTCACTGGGTTTTTTCTAGGAGTGGACCTGGTTCCAATCAAGCCCATTCCCAATGTGGTTACGCTGCAAGAGGATATCACAACGGAAAGATGCCGCCAAGTAAGCTCTTGCCCCTCGCCCCTCCTTCCCATGCCTTCGTACCTTGTCGTCACTTTCTGTCAGTGGCTTATTTGGGGATACTAAGTCACTATCCTCACTTCCATTCCCTGACTCCCACTTGTGGGAACCCTTGCTGTAGGAGTGAGAAGGTTGGCTAAATGAAGGAAAAAGCATTTGTTAAGCGCTTACTTTGTGCCAAGCCCCAGAGATACAAATACAAATTGAAGATGATCCCTATAGTGGCACAAAGGAGACTCATTGCATGGTTTGGGTTCTGGGTGAGGATGATGGAGAGAGTGAAGTGATGTGTGACTGGAGCCAGGCCTAGTTACAGTGAGTGACTGAAAGCAACCATCAGTGGGGGAGGGCATGTGCATGTGTGAGGGTGTTCTGGGGATGAAATGGTTTCTGATAGGGGTTTGGAGAAATGGGGGTTGGGGTGGGGGGGAGGTAATAAGTGAATAGTGGCTGGAGCTAGGTCTATGTGTTCCTGGATTTGTCACCATGGGTTTCTTCAGTGGTGAGAAATGCAAATACCTAAGAGGGAGAGGATTTGGGACCCTGTTTTACCCATAACATAATGTTCAGTGTAGTTGTGCTATTTATACGAGACTATGTGTTATATATGTTATCTTCAACTTTTGTCAGTCCCCATTCTTATGTTCCTCATGTGTTTCTTGGTTCAAGTAAAAGCATTTATTAAGGCCTTGAAATGGGCTAGGCCATAGGGAAGATCCAGAGTTTAGAAAGGAGATGTGACCTTCTGTTTCCCTTTTCCAGGCTCTCAAGAAGGAGCTGAAGACTTGGAAGGTTGACGTTGTGCTCAATGATGGGGCCCCTAACGTGGGGGCTAGCTGGGTGCATGATGCCTACTCACAAGGTGCCTGAGGAGAATTGGGGCTGGGATTATTCACAGATGCCAAGCACTCTAGCTGACAAGTCTTGATTCCCCTCAGCCCACCTGACCTTGATGGCACTCCGTCTGGCTTGTGATTTCCTGGCTCGTGGTGGCTGCTTTATCACTAAGGTTTTTCGTTCCCGAGACTACCAGCCCCTTCTCTGGATTTTCCAGCAGCTGTTTCGTCATGTCCAGGCCACTAAGCCCCAGGCCTCCCGCCAGGAATCTGCAGAGATCTTTGTGGTCTGCCAGGGTAAATTCTCTTTTATCCCCATGTATACTATTCCTCTCCTAAACTTTTTTTCCCTTCAAAGTCTGTTGTCATCTTTTTCCTTTTCTCTGTACACTTCCAGGTTTCCTGGCTCCTGATAAGATCGACAGTAAGTTCTTTGACCCCAAATTTGCCTTTAAAGAAGTTGAAGTTCAGGCCAAGACTGTGAGTGAATTGGTAACGAGGAAGAAGCCCAAGGTATGTATGTGAAAGAGAAGCGGACATACCCAGAAATCTCTGAGAGGGAGAAGGAGATTCTCTGAGAATCACTGAGAATACCTCAGAGGGGACTCCCTTGTCTGTTTTGTGTTTCTTTCCCATCCCCTAGGCTGAGGGCTATGCTGAAGGTGACCTCACCCTCTATCACCGGGTCTCCATTACTGACTTTCTCCGAGCTGCTAACCCTGTTGACTTCCTCTCCAAAGCCAGTGAGGTGAGTGTCCAGGCTTAAAGAGACATGTGGAAGAGTTGCCCTGACCCATCTAGGAAGTTTAGTTTTTTCTGATTCTTGTCATTTCTTGCCGAGCAGATCACACTAGATGATAAGGAATTGGAGCAGCATCCAGCCACTAATGAGGACGTAAAGGTGTACTGTCAGGATATCAAAGTGCTGGGGCGAAAGGAGCTCAGGTACTAGGGTGAACATCTCAAATTATGAGACTGGGAAGGACCTTGGGGGCAAGCCTGAGTGTATGTGAGCTGGATTAGGGCCCAGTGAAACTTGAGGAGCAGGTGGTAACTGGTGCCTTTCTTGTAATAGGAAACCTTTGTCCCAGAAATTGGGGTTCGGGACAAAGAGTTGGTTTTTATTTATTTTGTGATCTTGGTATCTGAATTAAGTCTGATGCCTTCAGTGAGGCATTTAATGGATAGGGTAAGGTGGTCAGTAATGGGCTTTTGGAACAGGTCCCTGCTGAATTGGAGAACAAAGCTGCGTCGATTTGTGGCCAAGAAGTTAAAAGATCAAGCAAAGGCACTGGACATCAGGTAAACTGAGGATCAAAGTAGAGCGTAAGATTTGAGAAAGATTGGGAGAGGGCTAATGACGTTGAACGTGCCTTCATTCATCTGTCTTATCTCCATTCTAGCCTTAGCTCTGGAGAGGAGGAGGAGGAGGAGGAACAAGAAGAAGAAGGAGGAAAAAAGACAGCAGTAGCTACTGAGGATGATGAGGAAGATTTGGACAGGGCTCTTGCTGAAATGAAGGCCCAGGAGGTAGCAGAGCTAAAAAGGTGAGAGAAGGGATTGGCAACAGAGCTAGGGCCTTACAAGTTGGGAAAGTAGAGAACTATCACAGGGCACAAAGTGTGGGAGCTGAAAACATTTTTTTTTTTTTTTTTTTTTTAAGAAAATTTCACTTTTTCCAAATGTATAGAAAAACCAGAAAATTGCTATGAAGTAAATGCTGTGAGGCATTTATTGTGGCATCAAGTTGAATTTGTTAGCATCTACTGAAGGCTTTGAGTCTTCATTGTAAGAGACAGGTTCAGTGTTAAGATGTAGTTCAGCAGTTTTCATGTGTAGCTCATGTCATGTTTATAACATCCTAGATTTTGCTGTCTTTAGATTTTTTACTTTTGAGTCAGCAGATATAGGAGAGGGTTGTGGGTTTGGAAAAAGCAGTCTTGGGGGATTGGCTGATACGGAAAGGCCTAGGGACTCTTGCTGAATATGTGCCTGGAGTTCACCAGAGTTAACCCCACATTCACTATCCAGGAAGAAAAAAAAGCTACTTCAGGAGCAGAGGAAGCAACGGGAGCGTGTGGAGCTGAAGATGGATCTGCCTGGAGTGTCCATTGCTGATGATGGTGAAACTGGGATGTTCTCCCTACGGACAATCCATGGCCACCAGGTGGGCTAGAGGGGAAATCTCCATGAGAATGGGGATTTTAGGGCTATTCAATATACATGGAGTATCATGGACTGCAGATTGCTCTAGCATTGTTTAATTATATTGACTTTGTAACTTGTGACTATAGATTGTGAAAAAGCCCAGGGCTAGGAGTTAGGAAATACGGATTTTCATACTGGGTCTACCATGCATCTAATTGGGTATGATATTCTCTGTGAGGATAAACTGAAAGAATGGTTTCTTAAGTCTGGAAAGATGAAGGCTAGGAAGGGGATATAAAGCTTACATGGATTAGGGTGGGGAACAAAGACTTGTTCGATGAATTTGAGAAGATTAGGGCCTCAACCAAACTTGGAAGGCCTCTAGTAGAGTGGCCTCAAGGATCTCTCTGTCTTTGACCCCCGTGCTGCTCACCATTTTTATCAGTGACTTGGATAAAGGTGTGTTTCTGAGATCTGTAATGACACAAAACTGATAGAGTGAGCCATAGGCTAAATCTAATACTACACTCCTCCCTTTTAAAGTCTAGCTCCTGCACTTAGCATCATAATCTCAGCTGTAGTAAGATAGGGCCAGATTACACAAAAGATCCAAGGCAAGGGCTCTAGTGGATTGTAAGATCACTGTGAGGTAACAGTAAGACAAGACAGTCAAAAACTTTAGGTTTCATTGAGTGTCATTTATCGTGCCTTCAGAACAAGGGAGGCATGATAAACCTTCCTGGTGCATGCTGAATTGTGCAGGCCATATCCAGAGTAATTTGTTTTGAGTGCCATATTTTGGGAAGAATGTTGTAGGGTAGTGTAACCAGTATGGTGCGGGGACTTGAAGACCAGGTCATATGATAAGGATTGGATAGATGAAAAGACCTGGGGGATATATTCGTTTTCAAGTATTTAAAGAGATGTTATATGGAAGTATTAGATTTGTTCTGCTTGGCCCCGGAGGGCAAAACTAAGAACTCTAAGTGTAAGTTGCAGAAGGAAGATTTCCACTGTTTAAGGTAAAACTACATGTAGCAATAAATTTTCCAAAAGTGAAATTATGGATATAAATTGAAGACATAGTACTTTGAAAATGTAAAAGCATGATTTTGATAAGCCTTGGCCTGTTTCACATTAAACCACAGCTACTACAGGAAGTGGCGCAAGGAAATATGGGGGCTGCAGACAAATTCCTATTGGAGGAACCAGAGAGTGATATCTATCTATCTGATGAAGAAGATGAGGATGCCGATGATGAATCTCTGGCCAGTGACGTGGACCCTGAAGAGCTAGCAGGAGTTAAGGGATATGGAGCTCCTCCATCTCGAAAACGGTGAGCCGAGTTTTAGGGTGGACCCCTTGATGTTAGTATATGGAGGAGGCGATATGTTCCATGGAAGTGTCTAATTGTAAGAATTAGTGTGGGAATCTACAGGAGCCTGCAGGCTCAGGTTCCCCTGTGATCCATTTCTGGGCCCACAGTGTGAAGTGTGCAGAGCAGCAGCATGAAGAAGAGGAGGAGGAACAAGAAAACCCCCTTTTGGTGCCACTGGAGGAAAAGGCTGTCCTTCAGGAAGAACAAGCCAACCTCTGGTTTTCCAAAGCAAGTGTCGGAGCAGGTTTGGGAACTAGAGCTATGAGAAGTGGGTCTAAAGTCTGGCTTCAGGATTAGTAATGGTGGGAGGAGGGAGAGGACTGCTTGTTTCCATCCCCCTTCCCTAGTTTTGAAGCCCTGTCTTGTTTGTTGCAGGGTGGTTTTGCTGGGATTGAAGATGATGAAGATCAGGCCCTGGAGATAAGCCAGGCTCAACTGTTGTATGAGAGCCGATGTAAAGAAAAACAGAAATGCCAGCAGAAGCCTCCAAATTCAAGGAGGGAGGAACTGCCTTCCCAACCTCAGGCCCAGTTCACTAGCACAGAGGGAAAGCCACCTGTGGAGGCAAAGGCAGCCATTTCTGCTCGGGGGGAGGAGGACGACGACAGCAGTTCAGACAGTGATAGCAGCAGCAGTGAAGATGAGGGGTGAGAGGGCCTCTTGTGGTGATGAGCAAGATGTGGTAGAAACTGGGGGGTTGATTCCCTGCCATCTCGCTGCTCATTTTTCAAACAGTTCCTTTGTCCTGCAGGGGAAGGGGATTTGATTACTAGGGAGAAGATGGGCTCATGCTTTCTTTCCTTTTTAATAGAAAATTAAGTAAAGGTCCCCAAGGTAAGAAGCGAGGCCATTCGATGGAGCCTGATGATGGGTTTGTGGTAGTGCCTATTGAGGACCCAGGTAAGAGGGCCAGGGTTCTGCTTGGTAAGGTGGGTATGGGCATTCTAGGATGCTCTGTCAGGTACTGAATTATAAAAATCTGTTCCCTTAGTCAAACGCCAGATATTAGACCCAGAAGGTCTAGCTCTAGGTGCCATGATTGCCTCTTCCCGGAAGGCACGGCGGGACCTTGTGAATGACTCCTTCAGCAGGTATGAAGAGTAGGAATTACGGAACAGCTCTAGGTGAATGGACAGCTACTTTAGAAAGCACTGGGTAAATGGGTACTCTTTCATCAGATATACCTATAACGAGGAGGAAGGGGACCTCCCCGAGTGGTTTGTGCAGGAGGAAAAGCAGCACCGAATTCGGCCACTACCCCTAGATAAGAAGACAGTGGAGGAATATCGGAAACGCTGGCGTGAAATCAACGCTCGGCCCATCAAAAAAGTGGCTGAGGCCAAGGCCCGAAAGAAACGTAGAGTGAGTATTAGGAGTGTTTTCTGAGGCAGCCAAGCAGCCTGAAGGTTTTCCTCCAAAGGCAGTCATGTAATCAAGGATTCTATCCATAGATGTTAAAGAAAATGGAACAGACTAAGCGGAAGGCAGAGGCTGTGGTGAATACAGTGGATATCTCTGAGCGGGAAAAGATGGCCCAGTTGCGCAGGTGAAGTAGAACTAAAGGGTGGGAGGTATAAGACATGTTGAGTTATTAGGTCTAGAACACAAACTTTTTGGTCTTGGGATCCCTTTACCCTCTTAAAAATATTGAGAACTCCCACAGAGCTTTTGTTTAAGTGGGTTTTATCTATTGCTTTTTCCATCTTTGAAATTTAAATAGTTAACAGGAGGTTTTCAATTTTCATCTTCCCTTTGCAGCCTCTACAAGAAGGCTGGGTTTGGCAAGGAGAAACGCCAGGTTACCTATGTTGTGGCTAAAAAAGGTGTGGGCCGTAAGGTTCGACGACCAGCTGGAGTCAAAGGTCACTTTAAAGTAGTGGACACGCGGATGAAGAAGGACCTGAGGGCACAGCAACGTAAGGAACAACGGCACAAAGGCCGGAGGAGGAAGTGAAAGGCCCCAGAAGGACCATGGAGAACTACTGAGCCATTTCCTTTCCTTGAGCCTCATTTTTCTGTAGAAAGTGAAAACTGCTCACCTCAAAGCCCTCTGTGGTTAATGATTTTCTGGTAATGGTCACTGTTTGACCAGTGTTTGTGCTGTTTTGTTACCTCATGAAAGGACATGTGGAAAATAAAAGCTCCAAAAGAGCAAAAAATTAAAGGGAACATTCAGAAGTTTAACCCTGATCTGTAATGGGGTCTTCCCTATATTAATTCAGGCTCCTTACCACCTTAAGTATGGTCCTGAGGCCACAGTGGACAAAGGATATCATCAGTTTTTTAACTACAAAAAGGATAAGGTCTTCAGAGTCGGGGACTCTGGGAAACCATTATAATAAGTCTGAATCTGAGATAATGACACACAAACCAGGCACACTCCCAGTAATAAAACATTTACTAGAGCAAGCAAAAAGGAATGCACATCTGAAAGAAACCTTCACAAGTGTCACAAAATCTGATAGTTCTGGATACTTTTATAAACAAGATGAAAACAAATCATTTCAGCCAAAAGGTTATTGTGGTAAAAGTAAAAAAAAAAAAAAGAAGGTAATATACAATGAAATCAGATTTTAAAAACTGCCGAGGTTTATTTTTTAATTAAGAAACATCTTCGGCCTAGGGAACAATTTCCAGAATACTTCTTAGTCACAGTAGCTCTGGGCACAGCTTCCCACTCTCTCCCACATATCTGCAGGTTTCTGGCTGAGGAGCCAAAGTACTACTTCCCAAATGAACTGGCACACCTGCAACCACGTCAAAAACTTCCAAGGTTGTGCCTGCCGTCTGCCATCTGTAGAATCCAAAACTCACAGTGCAGAGAGCCTGCCCACCTTACACTAACCCTTACCTGGCCACCAGAAAAGAGAAGAAAATCCGTCAGGAGCGGGAACAAAAAAACAAAACAAAACTCCAGAGCACAGACCTGTACTCCACAGTTAGCTGCCCCTCAACACCTAAACGGGATTTCAGGAGCAGATTTAAGTTTCTCAGAACATACCAGAAGCTCCATCCTAGCCACAGCTCTAGCTCTCCCTGTGGCTAGAGCCCTGCTGAAACATGAGGGTTCAATGGGAAGCTTAAGAAAAATGATTCTAAAGAAGGGGTCTTATTTCTAGGCCCTGGCTACTGATGTCCTTTAGGAGCCGAGGATCTTTGCATCTCAGGTTACGAGCCCCAACTTAGCCCCCAGGACAGCCATTTATGAAGAAGAAATCCTTAAAAAAAAAAATACACTCCACCCATTCCATTACATGCTTTGCACAACCTCTAACTGTCCCATCGACTCTTCTTGCGTTTGGGTGGTTCAGGCACAGCAAAGCCATCTGCTGTCTTGTCTGTCTTCAAGTCCATCTTGCTGTCCATCCTGTTGTCCGTCCTGTTGTCTGTCCTGCCATCTGTCTTGCTCTCACGGCCACAAGCCTCTTTCCTGCTCTCTCCATTCCGGCCATCACTCCCAATCCGGCTATCCCCATGTCGACCACCACTCCCATGTCTGTTATCTCCGTGCCGGTGACCGTCTCCATGCCGGCCACTGCTCTCTGGATGGCGGTATCCATCACCATGACGGCCATCTCCGTGACGTGGACCATCACCATGGCGATTGCCACTGTCTCCGTGGCTATGGCGACTACTACTTCGGTTCTCTGGGTATCGCTCTCTACTCCCATTACCGCTGCCACCACCAATTCCTTCTCGGCTGTTGCTCCCCGAGGCTGAGTTGTTGAGACCCTGGGTTCCAGTAGGTGAGTACCCTCCTGGAACACTGCTAAGGTTCCCAGCACTGGCAAAGCCCGGGATGTTCTTGGCGGCTGTGGCAATGGGGCTGTCAGAATTGGCATGGCCCTGTTGGGCTGAATTACTTGGGACGGAATTCAAGCTCCCTGCACTGGTCCACCCACTTGCCCCAGCAGCAGAGCTCCCAGCCTTCTGGTTGCTTAAACTGGCAGCAACAAAATGGCTCTTATACTGCGACTATAAGAGAAAGAAAGAGTGCATATATGAGTGAGACAAAATTCAAAGAGAAAATGAATAAAGGGATACACAGTATAACAGTTCTACACGTGCAGCAGAGCTCTGTCAATCCTAATAATGTTCTACTCTGCTCTTCCTCCCATGAGCTGAGTGAATGGGAAGATAGTGGGCCCAATCTTCATCTCTATTTTCTCATTAAGTCCTGTTTTAAATGGGAATCACTGAGGAAACCATTCTTAATGTATACAAATTCACTTTACAGGTGATATGGTCGGAACAAAATCTGTCATATATCAAAGTATATCTCCATACACAATATACTCAGTTAGTTGATTTAGTAAACCCAGGAAATAAACTAGAACAGAATAGTCTAGAGCAAGGGCTCCTGACCTGGGTGTCTTGAACTTTCTTTTTTGTTTGTTTCCGACAACTGTATTGAAATACAGTTGATTTCCTTTGTGATCCAATATATTTTAAGTTTTTAAAAACATTTTCTGAGAAAGGGTCCATAGGCTTCATCAGAATTCTAATGGGTTCTATGACACAAAAAGTTAAGAACCCCTAGCCTAGAAGCTGGTTCATGTACCTAAGTGCCCAGCTCATTTAGGGAAAGATAGATTTAAAACCACATCAGAGCAAACTGGCCTCTCAACTAAAGAACCATGGCAGTTGCTGCTTTGGAATTAGGTATTAAGATCAAGAGTTAAGACTGCAGTGGGAACACAATTTTGATAATGTTCATAAAAAGTCTTAGCTGTGTATCTCAACTGAATCCCATAGGAAATGCCTTTCTAGTTTTCCTTAATCCTGAAACCCCGTTTCTAGAAACTGCTACCCCACGCACTTTCACCTCTCTTGTGCCATCTTAAATCAGACTCTGAAGCCTAACTGATCAGGGCCAACCTTCTCCTTGTCTTCTTCCACCCATGCCTTTTGTTCTTTTTATTGATAGAATAGGGAATTCTCCCCTGAGTGCCAAAGCTGAATGTCAGACCTGGAAAGCTGCTTTCATTGCAGTCAGGCGGTCTCCCATGGCCCCTGTGGAGGGCTTATAGGCCTCATAGTTACTCATCACGTTGCTGTTGTTTCCTCGATCCTAGGGAAAAAAGACACCCAAGATGATGTAAGAACTGCTGAAAAATCTAGACCTCATCCCAATGGGGAATTCAGCATTAGGACTGCTAAGCTTTGGGGAAGTTTACTTCTACCTTTTAAGAGAAGAGGCAGCAAAAGGGCTTAAAGAACATAACAGGCATCTATTTCCTAGGGCTAAATGGGAAACCATTTCTAGGAGGTATAACTGGAGAGATGACTACACATATAGGCAGCTCTTATGCTGGCTAAGGAACAAGAGTGACAATAAGCAACAGAGCTGGTGGGTAGGAGGTAATAATCTCCAGGCTTCAGGCTAAGTAACAAAATAGTTTCCAAGCATTCTCTGCTACCTCCAGGTACAAGAAAATGCAGAATACAGGTTCAGTTACACAGTAAGGATGGAACTTGCCTTAAGAAAAAAATAGAAGCTGGTTCCACTTAAGACATATTTTTAGTAACAAGCTTCAAAACAACTTTCTGAATAGTTCTAACCAGCTCCCTAGGAAGCAAGATGAACATAGCTTTCTCCATGACTTCCATACTTGGCATTTATCTATCCTATTCCCCTGCCAAAATCCTTGGAGACTGAAATATTCATGCTAACAAACCTTCTAGCAAACTGGTCATAACTCCTCAACCTCATGGAACTGATTCAGAATTTGAAATTAACTCTCTGATGATCAACTTTACACATCTTCCACTCACATCAAATCAACGTCTCATTCTTATGACTCCTGTTCCTCTGGCTCATTCTCTTTCTCTTAACCTCTTTTTCCAACTCTAGTTTCAGATGCTTCTATAGCCAGTTTTACACGAGTTACTATTTTCATATTACACTGGCTCATACCCTAGAGTCCTTGCTTCACTTGCCATTCCCTTAGAACTTAAATTCTCTGAGGGGAGGGACTCTGACATCTCTTTCTTTGTGTCCCAAAAGCCAGCACAGCCTGGCTTAGTAAATGTGTGTGTTGTTAAACTGAGTTGATTTTACTCATTAAAAATTCACATTACTTAACATCATTTGTGCTCTCACTGCTGATCAACAAGTCATTATCCTTGATTTCTCTTTAGCATCGAATATTTTTGACCATTGGATACTTTTTTCTTCCTTCATTTCATGAACACTATAACCTAGTTCTCCTACTTCACTCTGTTCTGAACCCACTAAGTTTTGTTTTGGTTTTCTTCTTTATACTCTTTTTTGCAATCTCATTCACTCTCAAAGCTTAATCTGCCTTTATAGAGATTTCCTCAATTATTCCCAGATCCGACCTTTGTTCTAAGCTCCAGATCCATAGCCCTAACCTCCTATATCAGATGTCACTATGTGCATGACCCCCTTTTCTCCTCAGCTATCAGGGCCTGCTAATCCACTGGTGAAACAGCTTTTATATACACAGCTCCGCTCTCAAACCCCACTGCCATCAGCTTGGTCCAGGCTCTCATTACCACCTACTTGGATTCCTAAAAGATCTGGATAGGTCTTCATACCAACCTACTCTCGAAACTAGTACCATACTCAAAATCTTCATGCAAAGATCTGACCATGTCACTCTCTGCTTAGCCTTGAGTGGATCCGTACTTCCTCCTGAGCAAAGTTTAACCTCCTCGGCCTAGCATTTAAGGTCCTCTGCAAGCTAAACCCACAATACCTTTTTTCAGACTTAGTTTCCTCATCTGTAAAATGGAAATAATAGCACCTACCTCACTCACAGAGTTGTGAAGATTAAATGACATAATATCAGTAAACTACCTTGTAAATCTTTGAAGTATCATACAAATGTTAGATATTATTTTCCATCTACTCTTTTAGTTTCACCCAAACTGGCCTTTTTGTCTCCACAGCAGGTCCTTCCCTCCTACTATTCCTCTGCCAGAATGTTCCTCTTGCCTTGTCTACTGATTCCTTACCAATCCTTTGAAGATCAATCTAAGTAAGATTTAAGAACTAGAAGTTACCTTAGCATCTAGTGTAATCCCTTCACTTCACATATACAGAAACTGAGGCTTAGTGAGATTAAGTGATTTACCTATCGAGAATAAGGATCAGAAGTGGTTAGATTTAAAACCAGGTCCTCTGACTCCAGAGCCAGTGTACTTTTGTCTCATGTGACTTGCCC